AATCTGACAGTCTTTTTTACCTTTTATTATATTCAATGGATTCCCTCTTTGGATTGTCTGGGAACTTTTAAAAAATAAATGAGCACTGCACTCTAACACTTCAAATATTTACTCAGACTCACCATCAGCAAAAAGGTAAATACCAGAACACTACAAGTTAATGACCAACACAGCTACTGCCCCCACATGATTCCCCTTTTGTATGGCTGACAGCCATATCCTCTTAGCCATTTTTTCCCTGGCTTACACCTGTTAATACACAGGTACCATATGTGAAGTGATCTTTGGAATTTGGGGAGTGTATTACAATAACTGCCTGCTATGTAGCTGCTTCTCTCAACATCTTCACGGGGAAGCATGAAATGTGTAAAGCTGTATTATAAGGCTGTTCAAAACACAGACATACTAATCCCTTCCCGAGGAACAGTCACTGATGGACTGGCTCTTTCTACTGAATACACTCAGGTCAAAGGAGCACATGGTGAAGTCACTAGTAGGTATATCCCTGGGCAGCCTCTGATACAACAAATTCAAAAATCTCGCCTGACAAAAACCAAGGACTGCCAAGGCAGCTCAGACACATCATCAGTCAGAGTCTTTAGTGTTTCTGGACATACACTGTTTTCATCATTAAGGTTGCAAAGTCAAATATTAAAAAGTTAGCAGATACTGTAATTAAGGTTGCCATGCAACCTCAATATGGCCTTCTTGTGTCTAATTACATAATCACATATTATATTATCTACAAAACTCCTACCTCATTCAGTATACAAGATGAATGGTTTAATATTTTTAATATTTTGTTTTATCCTCATTGTTCAATACATGGCCTTGCACACCATTCAAACCCAGCTCTGAATACATGAATTTCTTCATGGATTTTTCTATGGTGCTCATCACTACAATATCTGAGTGCTTTGCAAACATTTAATTTATTTTCACAATAATTGTATTATCCTCACTTTACAGATGTTGAACTGCGGCATAGAGAGATTAACGTCAAAAGGATACATTAATTTTGAGTGCCCAAGTTGAGACACCTAGGATCAGATTTTTCAGATTAGTTACCATTATATAGAACTTAATATGCACAGTTTTCATTGACTTCTGTTGCAACTATGAGTGTACAACACCTGCAAATCAGACTTCAAGCTCCCAAATCAGACATCCAGAAAATGAAGGACACACAATTACTGACCAAAAGTGAAAAGTCTGGTATTAGTGATTTTCCCAGCATCACACAAAGACTCTGTGACAGACACAAAGATAGAAACCAATTTTCCAGGCAGCATTCAGTTGCTTTAAACATGAGACCTTAATTTCTCTTCTTTCTGTCCCTTGCCTCATTCACCACATACCTTCCAACTTCTGCAATAACTGAACATGGGGTCCTTCCCCAACCCTATTTTCTCCCTTGAGCAAGTCCAGCCTGTGAACTGAGGTAGGGAGTCTGCAGAAAAATGGTATGTTGTGTAATTAAGGACTATATAATAATTAATATGCACAAGAGGAATAAATTAAGCCTACCTTCTCAATTGCTTGTTCCACATTACAGTGCAGTTCTCCTAACCTAGCCATCACAAGCTTCAGAGGGATAACCAAGTTAATTACAGACTAATTTGGCTATCTTTCTGAAGTTTTTGAACATGCAAGGCACTGCATTCAGCCATATGAAGTGGAAATCCATCAACTACACAAGGAAACTAGCCATCACAGTTAGGCTTCTCATCACAGTCTAAGTCTCTGTAGGGGCTTGGAGGTTGTGGCCCTTCCCTCCTCTGGCTCCGTAGGAGAACACACTGCCTCACTATGTCCATGTGCACCAACTAGCATGGAGAATTAACGGGGTGGCAGTAGTTGAGGGCTCTGGCCTGCACTCAGGGCTGAGCAGAAATACACTTAATGAGTCCAAACAAAGGGGTGGGCAAAAGCCTCTCAGCAGGCCAAATCTGGCCTGCCTAGGGCTTTGATCCATCCCGCGAGGCAGTTCCACACCCTACCCCCTAGCACAGGGGTCGGCAACCTGCAGCACAAGTGCCATGTATGGCATGGAAGAAGATTTTCAGTGGCACGTGAGAGTGAGCTCAGCCCTGCCCCTCCCCCCCTGCACAGCCGCTGGAGAGAACTCCCTCTTCCCTGCAGCAGGTTATGCAGCAGTGGGAGAAGGCAGCGCTGGGGATGAGGCATCTCAGCGGTGCCTCAGCTGGGACCGGAGGTACCACTGCCACAGCCACATAGTCTGGGGCCAGCCCCAGAGGTGCCTCTACCACAGCCACTCGGTCCGGAACCAACCCGAGACTGCATAGCAGCAGCAGCAGCATCACCTCTGGCCTCCAGGGCTGGGACCGGACCACGTTGTCCCCGAAGTGGGGTATCCTTCCGGGGCACCCGGGACAGAGCTGCTGCAGCCATTGCTGCAAGGGGGTATGAAGCCAGGTAAGGTCCACCATCATGCCCAGACACCCCCAAACTCCTCACTTCCCCCCCCCCAAGACCTAGCACACTCAGCTTGCTCCATCACTCTCCTTGTTACTGCACCCTCCCTTGCTCTTACTCCCTCCACCTGGCCAGACATCCTACTCCCAGCCTCTTCTGCACCCTACCCCCTACTCAGACCTTGCAACTTCTCCCCCTTCTGCACCCCACCTCCCTTGCAGAGCCTGCACACCATCCCTATCCTACTTTCTGACAGCCTTGTCTCGCACACTGTATCCCTCATTTTTGTCCCTACCCCAGAGAGCCTAAGGAGGTCCATAAAATCCACTAACTCAGGAACCCCAAAAAAGTAAATTTGGCCTATGGGAAGCCCTGAACTTCAGTCCCCCCATTTCCTTCCCCCTCACTCCGTGAAGCTGGGGCACCAGAGGAGTGAGGGGTCTCAATAGGGGCCACATCAGTGAGCACTGGGGCTTTTTTTATATATTTTTGCTTCTCACTTGTGTGGTCCCCAACTGATATTTCTGTGGGTCAGTGACCCCCGACCCAAAAAGGTTCCGCATGCCTGCCATAAATAAAGAAAACACTGAAACCTTTTGTGTTGGACATTAATTTAAAATGAAGTTTGATAAACTAACATGAGAGAGTTAAAACACTTAATTTGTTTTGTAATTTAAATTAAACTGTTCTCACTAGCTGCAGCTTGTTCAGAAAATAAGATCACCATACCCAGCCTGCCCTTGCCTCCCCTCCTTCCACTGGCATACAGATCTGTGAATAAGTTAAATCTGAAAGGTTGCCGACCCCTGCACTAAAAGCTAAGATCTGCATCTTAATTTATTTATTAATGAAGCTGCTGTAAGTGGGACTATTACTGACTTTAAAGAGTATCACCAGCACTCAGACCCATACATAGAGGTGAATAAGTCAGATCTTGGCACTCCACCTCTGAAAGGTTGCTGACCCCTGCCCTCTGCATGGCCTGGCAGCTACCTGGCAGGCGCAAGCCCTTTAAACAGAAGCAATTGAAAGGGCTGGCAGCTCTCAGTCCCACTGACCTGTTGCCTGGGAGCTGCCCGGGAGGTATGAGCCCTTTCAACTGTTTATATTCAAAGGGCTGTGTCTGCCGGGCAGCTGCCAGGCAATGGGTTAGCAATGGGGCCAGGAGATGCCAGCCATGTTATGTGAAATGCAAGCCTCCACCTCAGACAACTCTGCAAGGAGGCTAGCTGCCAGCACCCTCCCATCTGCTCCAGGTCCCTTTCATTGGCCAGAACTCAGGAGGCAGGGATCCTAGTGCGAGCAAAGCTCTCGGCAGGGTATCTCTCAATCCCGCCCTTTCTGCCTGACCCAACTTTTGTATTTTCTGTCCTGCCCACTGACTTCAGGTGGAAGAGGGGAGCACGGCCTGGCTCCACACACCACTGCTCAATGAGGGGGTCCTTGTCCCTCTGGCAACAAAAGAGGTATAGTCTCATTGCCTAGCAAGATGCAATCTCACACAGCCAATCACAGTCTTCCTCCTCATACTGCCAGTTCCAGTATCCTTGCCCAGTCAGTCCCTGTTCACCCACTTCTGCTCCTCAGCCAATCTGTCTCTCTCCCCAGCCGGGCCCTAATCAAGGCAGCTACCATGTACCTTTTCAAGTCAAAGTGAGAGTTCTCCAAAGGCAGGCCTGATCCATAACTAATTCACAAGTTGCTCATTATGGCAAAGGACCCAGCTACCCCACTGCACAGGTCTGAAAATACAGTTTGGCCATTCAGCAACCAGTCCATCTCCTTTGACAGAAGTCTTAAGGTGCTCTAGTGGTTTTGGCTAATGCAGTCATCACCTCTGAAATCTGTTAGGATGCCATTATCTGCTCATTAGAACTCTGTGTGGTTATTAAATTGTTATCCACATCTGCAAAAATGATCCATGGATATAAAGCAGATATCCACAAATTTGCAAAGTTCTAGATAAAAAAAATTTGTATTCACGTCCATAAAAATGAATTTCAGGTATCTGCATCAATATCCATGAATATGGATATCTGTGGATATAAAGCAAATACCTATAATTTTGCAGGACTCTACTGCTTATAACTCATCTTGAGGGCCATCTCTTGCATTGCTTGATAGATGTGTGGTGAAACTGTGTGATATCAGGAATTATGATGATTCACCCAATCTGAATACATTTTATTTCATCTCCTTTGCATACGGTAATCCTGTTGGCTAAAAATCATCTAGCGCAGATACTGAAATCTTCAAATATGATACTCTTGGATGTCACATTCTTATAATATGAGGTGATATATTCTTTAAAGTAATAGTTATCTAATTATTTGGTTTTTGACCATAGCTCCTGAAGTGCTTGGGAGCTCTTTACAGATTGCAATCCACATAAGGAAGTAGATAATAAGCACAGATAAATCAGTCTATATCGCCTGCTGCCAATGTTGACAGATGAGATGAGAAAATAATTATGGCACAATGTACTTAAAAACAGAAAGGACTCTGAATCACAGTTCTGGATTCTGTGGCTCCAGACAAAGAAAAGCTAATTCTTGGAAACTTACTTTCACTAGCTGAATAGTCCTGTGGATCAAGTATTCCTGACTCCTGCAGTGATCTAATACAGGAGTCCACCAACTCGAGACCAGTTGTGAGCTCATCCTCTATATCCTTCTGACCGTCTATAATAAAAAAATATAAAAATGGTTAAAGAATATAAAGAAAATACAAAAGATAAAAACAGTGAAATTTCACAGAAAGTCAAGGGAATGGTAACATTTATGATGAAATGGGCAGGCCCAGCATCATTCATATTTTCACACACTAGTCTTCAAAAGTATGGCGTTTGCTATTAAGAAGTGTATTGAGAAAACTCAGGTTTAATTACCGAGACAGTTTTCAGTCTGACTACAGTCAGAAATGTTGTACGCTACACTCTCCATTTCTACAATCACTTCTCTATGGGGATAATTTATAAATAATTTTGATGAAGACTAGCATATAAAATCCATGATTCTTTTGATTTTCCCCTGTTTTAAATTACATAAACATTAGTAGAGAAATATATGTAGATACAGAATTGAGCCAGGATGTACTTTACCTTGCGTTTGCCAATTAAACTGTTCTTCTGTTGAACTGTAAAAAAAAAAAAAAGAAAAGAAAAAAGCCTACATTAGAAAAAACCCAAATCTTAGCTAAATTATAAAAAAACCCTGAAACTTTAGAAAAACTCTGTAGTATAGCACTACCATTCAGATATAATCCTAGTCTGTACGACGAAGCTGATAAAAGAATCCTAGCTAGTAACCTTTAGGACCCAATCATAAAAAGTGTTAATTTACTATAAATATTTTAAATTTGGATAATTTGGAAAGCAGAGAAATAAAACAAAATTCTGATCAGTTATTGGCATATACAAGTTTTAATTTGAAATTTTCCCTGTCATTTTAAATAATTGATAAAACAAAAACAAACGCAAAAGGCAATGCTTTGCCTTGTAATATTTAAAAAAATCCTAATTTATAACTGCCCCTCCTGTATGGCCCCTTCATTTTCAAATAGGAAGAGGAAAAGTTGCTTTTAGAAATGAAAAAAAATGTCTCTAAAAAGATATATCTTATTTTATTTCTGGTTTATGACCCTGATCATTCAGTTAGATACCTCTTGATATCATTAACTCAAGAGGTGGACTCTCAATGATATCAATAGAACTTTGTAGGTAAGTAAAACTAAGCATACAAATGAGTGGTTGTAGCATGAGAGCCTAACAGTTGAGTATCTTTTAATTTTAAGAGCATTAAAAGCATTTAGGAAGTTGGAAGAAGGACCAAAAAGATCACATTCAATTCAGCTGGAATTTGCAGGGCCTGTTTCTATCATTCTTTTGCCTGTGTAACTCCAGCTGAAATCAATGCGAGTCAGGGTTGGCGACAGGCTTCACTGGGCCCTAGTCAATGGAGGGCAGCAGCACTCAGTTCTAGGTCCCTTAGCGCTACCTGAGCTGTGCCACATGGGGCTCTTGCGGCAATTTAAAGGACCTGGGGCTACAGCTGCTGCTACTGTCATGGTAGCAGCCCCCCTTTTCAATTGCTGGGCCCCAGGACAACTGCCTCCTTAGCCCCTTCCCCTATTGGAAGTTTTTTGGTACTTATTCAGAGTGGTGAGTTAGCTCTACTTAATGATGATGCTTAAAATTGATCAAGCTAGAAATTATGTTCATCGTTCAGACTGAGTAGGAATGATGGAAATTCTTAGGAATATACAGTAGGTAGTATAGCATAGGTATATTTTTTGCTGTGGAAGAAAAAGCATAGTTAAGGTAAATTGAGTAATAATATGTATAGTAAGTATTCTTCACTACTATGCATGCTCTTTCTATTTCTCCTTTACATGTCAAGAACTACCAGAAAAGTTTACAGTCACTCAGTCATATGCATTGTTAGGGTAATTAATTAGATTCCAAAGCCAGAAGAGAGCATGGCGATCAACTTGTTTGACCTGCTGGATAACACTGGCCACAAAACAGCCCCAAACAATCCTAGAATGTATCTTTTAGAAAAGCATCCATTCTTGATTTAAGAATGTTCAGTGTCAGAGAATCCACTGCAAAAGTCGGTAAGTTGTTCTTAATTACATAGAGGTAAAGATTCAATTACAATTTTCACAATTAAGAAGTTTTCTTGCACCTTTTTACGCAAGGGTAGGATATTACTAACTCAAACATTTATTTCCTTCACTTGTAATGGGGACTAGGATATTATCCATGGTTATCTGCCCATAAAATAAAAGTTTTAACTGCTACCAATATAGATCTATATCTTTGTATATGTGAGTATATGAACACAGGTTGAACTTCTCTTAACCAGGACTCTAACCTGGCAATATCCCTGGTCTAGCAGGACCATGGATGTCCCAGGACCAGAAAGTACCAGTGGAGGGCCGGTGGCTTGAAGTCCTGCAGCGGGGCTGGAACCCAATAGCGGGACTATCCTGTGACAGTAAAACTAGGAGACCAGCAGTAGGGCTGTTTCCGAGTGCAGACACCGAGAGGCGTGGGGATGAGAGGCAGCAGGACTGGTGTCAAGCAGAGAAACTGCCCCATGAGATCAGGAGGGAGTGGAGCTGCCCAACAGCACAACTGGAAGCCTGGCAGCCCAACAACCGCCAAGTACCACAGCTGCCAAGTGGGACTGGGAGGCAGCTCGACTGCCCTGCAGGGCTGGGAGCCTGACCGGGGGCTGCCTGGTGGTGGGGACAGGAACCTGGGAGTGGGGCTGCCCAGTGGCATAGCAAAAAGCCCAGCAGCACTGCTGACACCCTGCAGAGCTGCCTGGTGAGATCAGGAGGAAGTGGGGTGCCCAGCAAGGCAGAAGCACAAGCAGGGCTTATCACCCAGAGGCACAGTTGGACCCCAGCAGAAGGCCTGCCCCTATGGGGATGGAGCCCGGCAGTGGGGCTGTGAGTGCCAGAGGCGAGGCTGCATGGTGGGTCCAGGAGCCCTGCGTGCAGAGGGGCCAGCAGAAGAGGGAAGCCGGCCAGGAGGCTGTTGGCCAGGCCATGGCTGGGGAGACCATTGGCAGGGGTGGGCCCAGAAATGACCTTCCCTGGTCCAGCAAAATCCCTCATCCTGGACCAGTCAGGTCCCAAGGGTGCCAGGCTAAGGAGGTCCAACCTGTATATACTTTTTAATGGGAAAACAGATTTTAGATCTTGAATCTTTTTCCCTGGATAAAGAAGAGCTAGGTGAATATGTAAATGCCTTGAATGTAAATCTTTTTTATCTATGTCCAGGTAGCAAGCATATAAGGAAATTAAATTCAGGACCTTCCTTTTGAAGGCATTACCCTTTTTTATGGGAAAAATACTTAGGTTAGATATTAGTTTTATTTGACAGTAAAAACCACAAGGCTGATAGCTGTCTAAAGCATCCTTATTGAAATATTTTTAAAATGTTTATTACATCCTGTCTGATGTTTCAAGTACATTGATAATAAATTCAGAATTACAGATTTCTTTTTTCATTTCCATCCACAACGTCTAACACCTATGACTCAGAGTAGCAATTCTCAGCTGGAAGCCTGAGGCCACCTGGGGGGCTGCAAGTAGGTGTCGGAAGGAGAGGGGAGATGGGGCCCGCCAAGTAGGGCTGACATTCATTGGGGCCCAGGGCAGAAAGATGAACACCATTACCCAGGGCTGAAGTCTGGGACTCTGAGCCTTGGCACCTGGGGTTGACACTGAAGATTGAGCAACTTAGCTTTGTAGGGCCCCCTCTGGAATGGGGCCCTGTTTATTATCCCCTAAGCCTGACCCTGCCTTTTATAGGCAGGAACACAGTTGTTGTGGCACAGGGAGTCTGTGGTGCTTTTACAGCATGCTGGGGAGCCTCAGAAAGACAAATGCTGAGAGCCCCCGACACAGGGTACATGTATCTGACGATTTAGTGCATGGCAAGCTAGGTAAATTCACAGCATGCCAATCTGCCATGCTCTAACTGTCTCATATGGACACTGATGTGATGCTCTTAAAGTTCTGCACTAGGGAATTTTTTTCCCCCAGTGTATGGCAACAGTGTTCACACAGTTACTGTGAGTCATACTACAGTGCTGTAAATTTACATCCTTGGGTGCTACAACTTGTCTTACAGAAAAGCACTTAATATTGATCTAGTACAGAAGCACTGGCAGAGAACTGGCAATGTAATGCAGACCCAACTTCAACAAAACATTTAAGCTTTATGTTGCACTTGTGCTTAAGACCCATTGAAATCAATCATGTTACAGTTAAGCACATGCTCAAGTATTTTGCGAAAAGGGATGGTCATGTGTTGAACTGAGGCCATAAAACCTTTCATTATTAGGAAACTAGATGGTATCTAGCCCATTTTGTCATGATCAGAGTTAATATTTTCAAGAAAGCTACCAATTTGGATTACTCAGTTTCTGGTAGTCCAATTTGAAAAAACTTGGGTTTGATTTTCATAACTGTCAAACACCCACAGCTCCAAGTAAAGTAAATGGGAACGTGTCACTTCTGAAACTAGATCTAAAGTATTTCAACCAAAATAATTAATTGTCAGCTGCAGCCTAATTTGAAATGACCTAGTGGCCTTCGCCCATTTTCCACTGGACAGATGTTTGCATAATCATCATCATCATCATAACTATTTACTAGCTGGCAGGGTCAGGTCAAGGAATGAACTGTTGTGAAGTTCACATTACCTTCTCCCCAAAATTGGTGGGCAGAGGAAGCATGCATGTAATTAAGTATGTACCTAAATAGTGGATTATGATTTCATCAGCTTCCAATCTGGTAGCTTTCATGAGTACCAAATTCACAAGAAATTTTTGTAAATATTAAGTATAAAATGGGAAAAAAAGAAAAGGAAAATATTGTCTTGGTCCACATAATATTTTTAAATGCAACATTGAAAGCAGACACATTTAATTTACCTGTGTTTGATTTGGAAAACAAAGAACCTTTTTTTCTATGACAAACATAAAATAATCAAAAATGGAAAGTCAAAAATGTAGAATGCTTGTGAGAAATTATGAAGATGTTGCATTTTCCAGTTATATGCAGGTTTCTGCTTATAAACACTGGAACTGTTACATGTCAAGTAGCAGATTCAATGACAAATGCCTCTCATACAATCATAGAAGACTAGAACTGGAAGAGACCTTGAGAGGTCATCAAGTCCTGTTCTCTGCCCCAAGCACCATCTAGATCACCCCGATAGATATTTATCTACTCTGATTTTAAATATCTCCAATGATGGAGATTCCACAACCTCCCTAAACAATTTATTGCAGTGTTTAACCACCCTAACAGTTCGAATTTTTTTTCCAAATTCCAACCTAAACTTGCAATTTAAGACCATTGCTTCTTGTCCTATCATCAGACGTTAAGGAGAATAAGTTTTCTCCCTCCTCCTTATAACACCCTTTAAGGTACTTGAAAGCTGCTATCATGTCCCCTTTCAGTCTTCTCTTTTTCCAATTAAACCCAATTCTTCAGTCTTCTCTCATACATCATGTTTTCCAGACCTTTAATCATTTTTGTTGTTTTTCTCAGGCTCCACCTCTATATTGTGAAGAATAGGACTTTAACAGGGTTTAAAAAAGAACTAGATAGAT